ATTGAGAAAGATGGAACTCTCCCCAAATCATTTTACGAAGCTAACATCACATTGATACCCAAGTCAGGAAAAGACCCAACAAAGAAAGAGAACTACAGGCCAATATTTTTGATAAACATAGATGCTAAAATTCTCAACAAGATCCTAGCAAACCGGATTCAACAACACATCTCAAAAATCATCCATCATGGCCAAGTAGGCTTCATCCTTGGGATGCAAGTCTGGTTCAACATTCGTAAAACCATAAATGTAATTAAATACATGAACAGATGTCAAAACAATAACCACATGATTATATCATTAGATGCAGAAAAAGCTTTGGATAAAATCCAGCACCCCTTCTTGATAAAAACCCTCAAACATCTAGGCATACGGGGAACATACATCAAAATAGTAAAAGCCATCTATGAGAAACCCGCAGCCAGCATCCTCCTAAACAGACAAAAAACTGGAACCATTTCCCCTGAAAACTGGAACAAGAAAGGATGCCTACTCTCGCCCCTCCTTTTCAGTATAGTATTGGAAGTCCTGGCTAGAGCAATCAGAGAAGAGAAGGCAATCAGGGGTATCCAAATAGAAAAAGAGGAAATCAAGCTATCTCTCTTTGCAGATGACATGATTGTGTATCTTGAAAACCCAAGAGAATCTGTCAAAAACCTCCTTACACTGATAAAGGACGTTGGCAAAGTCTCATGATATAAAATAAATGTGCAAAAGACAATCGCATTTCTTTACACCAATAATAAACAAACAGAAACTCAAATAAAAACAATAATTCCATTCACAATAGCCACAAAAAAAAAATGAAAGACCTTGGCATCTTCCTAACCACAGACGTGAAAGACCTTTACAATGAAAACTACAAAACACTGCTCAAAGAAATCAAAGATGACACAAACAAGTGGAAAAATATCCCATGCTCATATATTGGAAGAATCAACATTGTGAAGATGTCCATCTTACTTAAGGCTATCTACAGATTTAATGCAATACCCATCAAAATACCAGCAACATTCTTCTCAAACCTAGAAAAAACAACACAAGAATTCATATGGAAAAACAAATGACCAAGAATGACCAGAACAATCCTCAGCAAAAAAAACAAAGCAGGTGGTATCACATTACCAGACTTCAAACTTTACTATAAAGTTACAATCATCAAGACAGCTTGGTATTGGTATAGGAATAGGCATATAGATCAATGGAATAGAACTGAGATTCCAGAAGCAAAACCTCAATTTTTCAAC